TTATTCCCTTTGTTCGAGGGTAATAAATGTTTTTCAATTTTATTTTTTTATTAAAAATTTAAGAATAATTTATATTTATATTCATTTTATTTTAAAAAATAAAAAATTTTATTATAAAATAGATAATTAAAATTAAAAAATAATTACAAAGTTGGAGTAAAAAATTATTTAATTTTTTAAAATATAAAAGATTATATTTTAAAATAAATTCTAAATTAAAAAAATTTTATTAATATTATTCTGAAACCAACTAAGTAAAGAACAAGCATATCATGCACCCTTTAATTTGCAGGAATATGCTAGCTTTGTCTCCATTTGAAAGATAGGAGGGAGAATTTCCACCGTTACATGTGAAAGATCGATCAAATATTCCAAGTTGTCTTTAATTTAGTGCACTTTCCTTTTCCTATATAAAGGAAGGCAAGTTTGGTTATGTGTCACGAACAAGTATTTCGCCCCCCCTACATATACGTATTAGAAACGTTTTTCAACAAATTAAATCATTCCAATCCCCCCCCCAAAAAAAAAAACAATGGGCAATGGAGGTTCGACAGGGAACACCGATCGCGGTGGATTTACCAATGACGAGGTAGGCCGATGCTTCCTTACTGATAAGAAGGTCCCCCGATGTGGCCTCGTTATGGGTAAAGAGATACCGTCACCCCCATGGCGATGTGGCCTCATTATGGGTAACGAGATACCGTCACCCCCATGGCGATGTGTGAGTGGCCTCATTATCGATAACGAGATAGCGCCACCCCCACCCCTACCCACCCGCCGAGGTACCTGTCATCCCAGGCCAAACAATCCCACGAATGACAAATCCCACCCCACAGCTGTATTTTAAATGATCACCGCATCCTCTTAAAAGATTAATAGAAAATCAACTTTTACTGTTCAAAAAAGGAAAAAAAAAAAGAAGAGTGGCATGGCGATCATGTGCGGATTAATTAATTATATATATGTTGAGGTCTAGAGGTAATATATAAAATAAATAAAGAGCTGCTTTCGCGCTGACCACGCTGGTTGTTAATGTTATGTCAGCAGCCTATATATGT